TTCTTCCTGGCCTGATACAAATTCTGCATCTCCTTTAACGTTCTTTCAGAGTCATAACTTGACAAACTGGAAAATGAAGATCACAGTATCACAGTATCACGGTATCACAGTATGCTAGAGATTGGAAGGGACCTCGAAAGATCATCTAGTCCAATCCCCCTGCCCGAGCAGGAACACCTAGATAATGTTACACAGGAATGTGCCCAGGCAGGTTTTGAATGTCTCCAGGGAAGGAGACTCCACAACCTCCCTGGGCAGCCTGTTCCAGTGTTCCGTCACCCTCACTGAGAAGAAGTTTCTTCTCAAGTTTAAGTGGAACCTCTTGTGTTCCAGTTTGCACCCATTACCCCTTGTCCTATCATTGTTTGCCACTGAGTAGAGCCTGGCTCCATCCTCGTGACACTCCCCCTTTATATATTTATATACACTAATAAGGTCACCCCTCAGTCTCCTCTTCTCTAGAGACCCAGCTCCCTCAGTCTTTCCTCATAAGGGAGATGCTCCACTCCCTTAATCATCTTAGTTGCCCTGTGCTGGACTTTCTCCAGCAGGTCCCTGTCCTTCTTGAACTGAGGGGCCCAGAACTGGACACAATATTCCAGATGGGGTCTCACCAGGGCAGAGTAGAGGGGAAGGAGGACCTCTCTCGACCTACTAACCACCCCCCTTCTAATACATCCCAGGATGCCATTGGCCTTCTTGGCCACAAGGGCACAGTGTTGGCTCATGGTCATCCTGTCGTCCACTAGGACCCCCAGGTCCCTCTCCCCTACACTGCTACCTAACAGGTCGTTTCCCAACCTATACTGGAACCTGGGGTTGTTCCTGCCCAGATGCAGGACTCTACACTTTCCCTTGTTATATTTCATCCAGTTATTCCCTGCCCAACTCTCCAGCCTGTCCAGGTCTCGCTGGATGGCAGCACAGCCTTCTGGCGTGTCAGCCACTCCTCCCAGCTTAGTGTCATCAGCAAACTTGCTGATAGTACACTCAATTCCCTCATCTAAATCATTGATGAATATATTAAATAATACTGGTCCCAGTACTGACCCTTGAGGCACTCCACTAGTTACAGGCCTCCAACCAGACGTTCAGAAATGAGTATGCTTTTTATTGTGTCCTGAAAAATTTGCTTCATAGAAGAGATGTAGGAATATCTAGATAGAAAAATACCTTTTAGTAGGTTATTCCATGATTTGGTCACAAGTGGCTAGCAGTTATACAGAAGTCTCTTGTTGATGCTTTTTCATTTACAAAGCAAAGACGTATTAAAATCAATGGCTGGTGCTGAGTTGAAGAAACTTGTTATAGCAAGTAAATGCACTGTAAGTTTGTCAGCTTAAGTAGGCCCAAGTTAAAACCTGTGATGCTTGATGTTCTTTGCTTCCTTTTTAGAAAGGCATTTATTATTCCACTGGAAGCTGTGAACAGATAAAAGTACCACATAGGCTTCACCTCATGAGAGGGAGAGTGAAAAAATGTGCTGTTTAACACAGCCGAGCATGAGAAAAAATGTTTTTAACAGGTCTTGTTTTTAACAGGTCTTGGCTGAGGTGTAAATCCCAGAAGTATTCACCTCAAACACTTAATGTAGCTGAACTATTGTTTCACTTCTCTGTACTAAAACATTCATGAGAAATCTGTTTTTTCTAACACACCCATAGCCCTGAAGAAAACGGGTGGTCTACTCTTACAGTGGATGGTATTTTCTGTCCTCAAGTGTGAATATGAACAGCAGAAGGAGGGGAAAGCAAATTAATTTTATTCACAAGCTCTTTGATGCTGTAACACTTGAATTGTTACCAGTAGAATGTACTTGGCAAGTCTATAATTCCAGAACTGAATAAAAGAACAGAATAAAAGGATTCAAATACCACAATCTTGAACATAGCAAAGTTGCATTGTTGTAATAATGTATTACGTCTTGCATTCACTTTTACTCCTTTTAAAAGGCTTAAGTTCAAGTTTTGCCTTAGAAGTAAAGATTTTCTAAGCCATGTCCTAGTGGCTAAGTCCTGCCACTCAGGCACAAGCTTTGTTTTGGTTTTGTTTTATTCCTGAAGATGCATCATTAACCCAGTTTTGCTGCCTGGGGATGCCATGGTACTGAAATTAAGGAATCACTTGGAAAACGTGTTCAGTCACTGTAGAAGTTTTAAATTCCTATTGTACTTTATTTAAGGGAAAAAAAAAAAAAAGAGTAAGAGTCTTATGGGAAACCTATACAAAATTGGACCTTTCTTTACTTTGTGTAACTTCAAAACCTTTCCTTTTGCCAGGCATTTTAGTATACAAAGCACACAGAATAATTGAGTCCTGTCAGGAAGCCTTTATCTTGCGACTTTATCGCCAGAAGAACAAACACGGCTTCATTAAAGCTTTCACAGATAATGCAGTTGCATTTAACACCGGCTTTTGCCACGTGGAAAGAGTAATGAGAAATCTTTTTGTCAAGAAACTTTATCTGTGGCCAAGGTAAGGCACCTCTTCTTCACTGGAGGGTTAAATTTCTAAAAAAGATTCATGATGTTACAGTGGGTTCCTAAGAAAATGAGGTATATGCAGTCACACTGGTAAGCTGTGCTCCTCTTGTGTTCCCAACAAATTACTTTCAGTCTTTGACAGAAGAAGTAGTTTTAAAGATGCTAAATCTCTGTAAGTATTTTTGAAGATAGACCCAAATTAAAACTGTAAGGGGATGAACTTTATGGTATAGCTGTTCTTCTAGCCAGCGGAAATCACAGCAGAGAGACATTCTTAATAGCTTAAGAAAACCTTCACTAATTGAACAGGTTATTTAAGCCATGAAGTACCAGGAATACAGTCTTGTCAGCTCTGCCGTTCCTGGAATATTTGTTTCCAACTGGTAAAACTCCAGAGCTCTCTTTCTATGTCAGATTTTTTTATCTTCTACATACATGTTGTATATGAAGAGTGTTTAATGATGACTCATAGAAACCAAATTGCTAGGTTTGTGACATGCACAAAGTCTTTCAGGAGCAGAGCCACAAATGGACCTTCAGCTTCGGGACCTGCTCAATGCTCCTGCCTTGGGCAGGAGGTCTGCCTGTTTGTTCCTTTAGTCCAGACTAGAATGTGTTCCACTCTGTACTGTTATTCTGCACTCTTTAACAGTGGTCTTTTTCATTACCACAGAGAAGTAGAAATGGAGGTAACTAGAATAGTAAAGGTTAAATTAGACGCTTTGTAAATTTTCTTCCTTGGCTTCTGAACCATGAAAAGACCTGGGAGGTGCGGGATGCAGTAAGGGAAGCATCCAGTGATTTTCAGAGGTCCACAGATGCGGTATTCTCTGAGCCTCATTCTGTAAGGATCAGCTAGCACCTAAGTACCTGTACTGACAGGTTGGCTGTAAAGGCAGTGTTCTAACAAGGACCTGCTGCTTCTGATCAGTAGCTAAGAATGTCACAAACTCTACTTGTGGATCCATGTGATTCCAAAAGCTTTACGAATCCATTCCATTTTCTCCCTTATGAGTTTTTTTTGGCTTTACTTTTTTCTGTGTAGTAATGATTTAGAATCTCGTGCAGTAATTTTCCATGGGTCATTCACCAGCACTATAGGCTCACGTGACTAGAATGACTACAGAGATAATTGTGGAATAGATGGTTTTCTAAGGCTGTTTGAGCCTTCATGTCAGTAGAAACTGATTTATTTTGCAATTAGCTTATTTGTTTATGTTTAAAGCAATTGTAATTGTAGTTTATACAAAGTTTGAATAATTGTAGATCAAACAAACCATCCATGTAAATATTAATTAGCTGTTTTCCTCTTAGATTTCATATAGCAGTGAACTCATTTTTAGAGAAGCATAAACCTGAAGTGGTGGAAATACATGTGTCAATGACCCCTGCTATGCTTGCTATCCAGACTTCAATCCTCGATATTCTGAATGCATGTCTGCGAGAACTCAAACGATACAATCCAGTTCTTGAAGTAGAAGATTTGTCTTTAGAAAATGCTATTGGTAAACCTTTTGACAAGGTAACTATTTTGATTGTTTTGGTGTGTCTAACCAAAGGGATTGTCCTAGGTTCAGCAGTAGCAGTCATTTTTCTCCTTCTTAGTAGCTGGTGCAGTGCTGTGGTTTTGACTTTCAGCCTCGGAACAGTGCTGATAATACTGATGTTTTCAGTCATTGCTCAGTAATGTTTACTCTGACCAAGGACTTTGTGAGTCTCATGCTCTGCCAGGGAGGAGGGGAAGCTGGGAGGAAGCAGAGACAGGACACCTGACCCAAACTGACCAAAGAGGTATTCCATACCACAGCATGTCATGCCCAGTATATAAACTGAGGGCAGTTACCCAGAAGGGCAAGATCACTGCTCAGGTCAGGCTGGGTACTCTGGTTACTCTGTAATGATCATGTTACCATTGCCAGTAGGGTTTTTGTGTATTAATACTATTGTTCTTCTATCATTTCCAAAGTCCCTACAGTACCAAAATCGTGATTCATGATTGGTTGGTTTTTTTTTAATTATTATTGTTGTTGTTATTATTATGATGGCTGCAATTTTAGCTCAAAATATCTTACAGATAAGTATGCATTTATTTAGACACACATACCCTTTTCCCTCTTGAATTTCCTGCTTGTATTTTTTACTTTCTCTAGTAGGAGAAGCACTGTATGTAATACTTATTATGCACATATTCTATATGTCATTAAATGTGTGTGCATTGCTATCTTTGGCAGATCTGCGATGTTTGGCACATGTATGCTTTCTGTAGGGTAAAATCATGAACTTCAACCATCACAGTTACACAGAAACATGGTTATGTGTTATCTGTGATTTAATATTGACCTAGGGCCTCCTGTACTTCAAATACCTGGAATCTTTTTTCTTACACAATGTAGATTGTGTATCTGTGTAGTCCTCATCTTACTTTGAAAACTAAATGACGTTATATTGTTTTTTATTTAAGTGAAGGATATTATATACTAAAGTATCTAGTACCAGTAAAGACCAGTGCCAGTAAAATAAGTTTGGGTTTTTTTGTTATTTTACCGGTATTTTATTATGATATGGAAAGGAAAATATTAAATTATATACATTTGCTAATTGATGAAATATCTTACATAAAGGCATCTATATTATGTTAACTTTGCAAAGAAATGATTGCTTATCAGAACAAGTACTTCACCATCAAATCTTCAATTGGGTAAGTTTAATAACTGGGAAACCATTGGTATCCCCTGTAAAGGAGAAAAAGAAATGCATTCTTACCTTGGTTAGTATATTAAGTATTTGCCATCCTGAACTTTCTGATTTATATTTCTAGACAATACGTCACTACTTAGATCCTCTCTGGCACCAACTTGGAGCTAAGACAAAATCTTTAGTCCAGGATTTGAAGATACTACGTACTTTGCTACTATATCTAACTCAGTACGATTGTGTCACTTTTCTCAATCTTCTGGAGTCACTGAAAGCAAGTGAAAAAGCTTTTGGTGAGAATTCAGGTAAACAATGAATAAGCATACAAGTTAATGCATGAAACATTGAAATGTTGATATTTTTAATTAACATCCCAAACATATGAAGGTATCTAATTAGGCTTTACATAACCAGCCATAAGGACGTAGGTTTTTATTGACAGATAATTCTTTCATCTTCCCACTTAACTGCTGTTACTTAGAAGTGTGAGATTTGCATCACATTTCTGTCTGTTATTGAGCTAGTAACTACACAGCAAGCAGGTAGCACAGGTATTACTGATGAGAGATCAAGGCTTTTAATGGATAGGGCTGAAACAAGTACACATTGCAAATGTCAAGCTACTACTGCTTTCTTTTCATGTTTAGGTTGGCTGTTTCTTGACTCCAGCACTTCAATGTTTGTAAATGCTCGAGCTAGAGTTTATCGCATTGCAGATGAGAAACTGCATCAGAAAGGCAAAGGCTCTGAAAAAAGTGGTGTGAAGAAGGAAAATGGTACTGATCATTCCTAATTTTAAGTTGGAGAGTGTCACACGATCTCAAATGCTTTGCGTATTATTACTGGTACTATGGTTCCCTAGATGGTCTTACACAGCTCAGGATCTCAACCTGTTAGCTGGGATAAATTGAGACATAATCTTAATTCAAAAGCATATAATAAACAACATAAAGCAGAGTCACGAAAAGAATTAAAGGGTTCTGCTAAGCTTGTTCAACTGATCATTGGGAGAGCTTTTATGAAATTGTTGTTGTACTACATTGGTGTTTAGCTTGATTTATTTTATGTGAATGAGTAGGAGGCTGCCATTGCTTTCATAAAAAAATACATATATTCAGGAGTTTCGGAATTGAAGAATGATTTAATACTTTAAATTTTGCTTCGCTAAAGCACTTATCCCCATTTTTAAATGTTTCTGTAAGAGTGCTCTCCAGCCCATTAGCATAACAAGTTGCATATGTAGGCTGTTGAATATCATATTTGCCAACAGCCATCATGCTATTGACATCTAACCGCTAATTTAAAGTTCTGATTTTTTTGGCTGTAATTTTGTCTGTAAGAGCTGCTATGTTCAGTCTTTCTTTGTTTCAGAATTAAAAAGGGAATTGGTTCTAGAAAGTAACCCAAAATGGGAAGCTTTGAGAGAAGTGCTGAAAGAGATTGAAAATGAGAATAAGAACAGTGAAGACTTTGGTGGTCCAGGTGAGAGAATACTAAATGATGTTTATATGTGTTTAACTAAATGATGTAGGTTTGCACAGTACAGTAGAATTTGTGGACTTAAGGAGCTTATGCACATAAACTATGTAAAACTAAATAGTTTTACATAAACTTGTATCTATCTAGTTCTGGGTCTAAAGAAGAAATGCTGTTGGTTACTGCGCACTACTGTTTAGGAAAATAAAAGTATTATTACAAAAAACTATTTTGACTTACATTACAATGTTGTACTGGTACTTTAGTCTTAAAACCAGTGAACCTAATAATATGGAAACTTAAAATAATCAAGATACCATTTGTTCATTTCTCAAGTTCAGGTTCAAAAAAAGGAGGGGTCCAGTCTTACTTCCTTTCCACTCATACATCTTCTGATTCTTCTCAGACATTTTCCTCATGCACCTGAAAATTTGTTTCTCTGGGAGATGCACCTAAATGGGGTAGAGAGTAGAAGGCAAGGATGCATCTAACTGCTTTACTGCTACTATTTTAGGGCTTTTCATCCCCTTAAATTTCACCAAGTTTTATTTTAGGAAATAGTAAGGGTAAAAAAGTGCTCTTTTCTCCCGCCCACGGTGTTCTGACTCTGGATAAGAACTGGCTCTCTCACCTAGTGTTGTAGGAGTTTATCTGAGTCAGCTTGTGGAAAATTGTTATTCAAGGCCCACAGATGTCAATAGTACTGTGTGTAACATGTATTTTTTTAGACTCTTTAACACAGCTGACAAAATCAGAATAGTCTGCATTAAGTTCTCTCATATTCTGCATTTAAAACAAAAAGTTGTCCGAGCAGGTTTCAGGACATGCTTTACCTGCCTCGTTTCAGGTGCTCAGAAGGAAAACCTCACTAATTTAGATGATATAAGAATAAGGAAAGCTGAACTAACATTCATCTTCTCTAACCTTGTTTGGTACAAAACATCATGCAAATTAGACTCCCTCAAAGTCCAGAGAAACTGTGACAACCAAATGTAAAGGCATTCGGCAGGCATGCCTCTAGATCATTAAAAACCATTTGCTCAAGAGGTGTCTTGTAGCTGTATAAGCAGTACAGCGTAACAGATTATAAATGTAGTATTGTTTCTTGACTGCAGGGCAAGTGCTTATTTGTGCCAGTGATGATCGAGCTTGTGCACAGCTCAGGGAGTATATTATTGCTGGAGCAGAAGCTTTTTTAACAAGACTGTATAACAAAACCTTTGGAAAGGATGAGAAAGCTGCAGAAATGTGGATTCAGGACAGAAAAGCTGTCAAGTCCAAAGGAAATGCCAGACCAGATGGAGGGCCTCAAGCCAAAAAAGCCAAACTCATAGCTTCGTCAAAACAATGCAAACCCAAGAAGCAGCAAGACCGGACTATAATCCAAATGATAGGGAAAACTGAGGAGGAAAAGAGAGAGAAGGTGGAGAAGGAAGACAGCAAAGAATTAAGCAGTAGCCAAGAAAGCAGTATTGAAGAGAACATTCCTGAAGATTTCCATGTGAACTTACCCTCAGATTGTTACTATGGCATTTTCAAGAACCCGCTCACAATCATTCATCCGCTGCAGGGCTGCAGTGATCCCTACGCACTCACTCGGGTCCTGCATGAAGTAGAACCAAGATATGTTGTGCTATATGATGCAGAGCTGACTTTTGTTCGGCAGTTGGAAATCTACAAGGCCAGCAGGCCTGGAAAGCCTTTGAGGTAAGCTGACCTGGTCAGAGTGATTTTAGTCCTAAAAATAAAAAGTGCACTTTGAGCAGTCAAGGCAGACTGTGCATCTCCTTATTTTCCTCAGCTACCTTTTAGTTCCTGTTCAGCCCTCTTCTTACTAAACAACAGCATAATGTCTGAGGTAACCAAAGGATAATTTTTACTTCTCAGCAGGTAGTTAGTCCCTTAACAGTAGAAACATATCTGAAAAAAACATTTCATTCCATCTTCGACAAGACGTCTGCTTAGATGATCTTCATGGCAGTAGATCTATTTTGAGGTGAGGTAGTCTCATTTTAAACCATCTGTGTAGGAATGATTTTTACACAATAAGCTTCATTTTGGATTTAATTAATTTTCACATTTCCTGATGTCTGGTCGTGCTGAAGACCAAAGTAATTCAGAAAGTTTAACAGGAAAGCAAGGAAGGGAAAATACACTAAAGAACATGAGAAGTATTTGCAGTTATACTCAGTTCTGAAGAACATGAGAAGTATTTTCAGTTAAACTGAGTTAGCTGACAAAAATTTCCACACTGTGTGTATATATATTTGATACACGTGTAATATGCAAAACTCATTTCATCAATAAATATTACAGACTAATTAAAAATGTAGAAAACTTAACATAAAAGCTCCTAGTATATTAAATTTTATCTTTCATTTCCATGGCTGCCTATTACAGCATTTCTTGAATACCGTGAGCTGCAGTTACACCTCTGTCTTGCTGAAAATAACTTACAGCAATTTCTTAGTTCTTAGAATAAACACACTTTTCTTTCTACAGTTGAAACACAATTTATTGACATATGCAATTATTACCTTTAGAATTAAAATGCTTTATACTTTAATCACTTCATGAAAATTATTTGCATCAATTTAAAAGAGCAGTTGTAATTTCCCGGTCAAAGATTTGTATATACGCACCATAACTGAAAATGGAGATCAGTTTGGCAGGGTTCAGCATGTCTGTACGTGATACCCAGGTACTAGATAGGGCTCTCTAGTGCAGATAGAAAGAGCAGAACTCACAAGCATATTGTATGAGGATAATTACTGGGTTATTTGTACAACTGGTTTTTAGTTGCCTGATCAGCATGTGCTGTATCTACCTCCAGCATCACATCCCACACTTCAGAGCAGGAAAATCAGATGCGGTCATGCAAGTAGGTCTTAGGAAATGCACTGCATCAGAAAAGTTAACAGGAGTAAAATCCTATCAGTCTGTCAGAGTGTATGAAAATATAATGGAAAAAAATATGCTGAAAAGCTACAGGCAATTAATTCCCAATTATTAATTCTTATATGTTCCATATAAATCCCTATTTGTGAAATAAAACGTTTGCTGGTGTGTTCCATCTCTGCTAGATGACAGCTTGTTTTTTCTAGAACCTATGATTGCCTTATACAAATACAGAATTTTAAAATCTTAAGATGGTGTTTTTCCTAACCCAGATGATTGCAATTTTTCCACTTTGTTACATGTACTCTACTTGGAAGATTTTGATAGCAATAAGAAAGTAACTGCTCATTCTACTGGCTGACTGAATTGCTGACTGCAATCTGAGCCTCCTCTGGTTGAATCCCAGAATTCCAGTGAATGTGTCTGCCACTGGAAGAAGAGCAAACACTGGATATAAGAATTTTTGTGGCTGATTTTGGAATGTCTTTACAGAAAAAGATAGTGTTTTTTCACTTGCCTTTTTTAAAGCAAATACTACCTTGTCAGGCGCTTAGTGCTACTAATCTTAAATACTGATTGTGGGGTTTTCTAACTTAATAGGAGGTTTTGTGATCCTTTTTTTCCTCCCCCAAACCTACAGAGTTTATTTCCTCATATATGGGGGCTCGACAGAAGAACAGCGCTACCTCACAGCTCTGAGAAAAGAGAAGGAGGCCTTCGAAAAGCTCATTCGGTAACAAAATTCCTTTATTACATTTGTTTCTAATGTTTCATGTAATTCCCTTATATGCTTATATCTTAAATAGAGTGAAGTTCTTAACTGTGTGAAGCCTTAAATAACTTTTAATTCAGTTGCTTTTCAGATGTTGAAAGCTTCCCCACTGAGAATTAATGAGAAGTCAAAACCTTCCTTTTCAAAGCACCTGATATTTCATTTATTATTTTTTTAATATTAAATTTGAAAAGCTAAACAGCACCCCTTTTATCTAATTGTCTGTAAATTTAATTTCTATAAATGTTTTTTGTCCACAGGTAACATTTCTTGTAAGATATTTATAAGGCTTTTATGACTTAGGTCATTTGGGGAAACAAAACAATACTTTTCATAGAATCACAGAATCCTAAACTAGTTTGGTTTGGAAGGGACCTTAAAGCTCATTCAGTTCCAACCCCCTGCCATGAGCAGGGACACCTTCCACTAGAGCAGGTTCCAACCTGGCCTTTTCTTAGTCTGTATATGACAGTATTGTTCCTGAGAGCGTCTGCTCACCAGGTTATACTGCCATTCCTAGTCATCAGTTCCTTTGTTTCATATGCCCTGAGAAGTTCTAAATATAAAAAATCAGATGCTAAAATTTGCTAAAAATTGAAAATAAAAATATAGCATCTAGCCCAACAATCCGGAGAACCTAGTAAACTGCATTTCTGATCAGGTTTTCAATTAGTATTAAACTATGTCTAATGTTACATCTGGTATTTAAAGGCATTAAAGTCCTTTCATCTATTTTTCTCATATAATTGCAGTCTTCAGTGTTTCTTTGTTTGTGGCTCTTTAGAGAGAAGGCCAGCATGGTTATTCCTGAAGAAAGAGAAGGAAGAGATGAAACAAATTTAGACCTAATAAGAGATGCTAATCCTGCTTCTTCTGTTCCTGACACACGCAAAGCAGGTGAGCAGTTCCTGAAGTGAGGCATGCCGCCCTAAGCTTTAAAAAGACTTCTCACTATTGCATTTACATCCCATTCACAGTATCTGGGCCATAGACATGCTGCACATTGACTCTGCAGTCTTGATGGCAAAGAAACAGTATCTCCCTCACTGCATCTACCTCTGACTGTGCAGTGACAATGAATTACGTTTTGCTTTGAAAAGAAAATACAAATTAATGAAATATTTCACCATTAAGACTGATACCATTTGGATTGTTTCTAGGCAGCTTGCTAGTTACAAGACTGTCTATTATTGCTTGTAGGGAGGTGGAAAGAAATTAAAACGTTAAAACTGAAGTCTACAGCTAGCCAAAGGCAGTGTCCTTGAGCTAGTAAATGTTGGGGACTTCCTTTGATCTTGGCAAAACAGGCTGCCTGGGTAAATGCAGATTGTGGGGTTTGTCTACTTTCTTTGCAGTAAAGCACCTTTTTTCTTCTGTTGCAGTTCTAACCACATTTTTATTCCTTTCCTCTGACGTGTATACTCTGTCTTCAGCTTTACAACTCTGCCTCTCTTTATCTTTGCTGTCACTTTGTTATCCTGCTCTCCTTTACCATATGCTCTCTAATCTTTGCTGTTATGCCTTTTTGGCCTTGATGCTGCAGTCTCTTCATGTATGCTTTTACAGATCTGTAGAGGCTAAAGCATAATTTTACAGTAAAATGCCATGTTTCTGTGGGAATCAGCTGGAAATAAGGATCAGCTTTGCTACCTTGTTTGCAGGCAACTTTTAAAAGATTTTCCTGGTGCATTTAAACAATTTTCATCCACAGTTTAATATATTTCATTGTCACATATACAGAGGTCATAGGAGGTAGCATGATAGTTCTATTACACTGCAGAGCATACTCCATAAACTAGAGTACCTGATATTTTAGAATATCTGATTTTTTTTTCCTCTGTAACAGTGAAAAAGTAAGTGAAGTCTGGCTTTGTTATACTACTGAATTCAAGGTATAATTTGGGATGTGAAGCCCATCCATTTCAGAAGCATTGGCAGCACACAGGAAGATTACACAACCAGAGCTGGCAGTCATAACTCCTTGGGTTAACTGTATTTCTTTTGCTTTTTAGGTGGCCAGGAACAGAAGAGTATTCAGCAAACTATAATAGTGGATATGCGGGAATTTCGTAGTGAGCTTCCATCGCTGATTCATCGTCGTGGTATTGATATTGAGCCTGTTACTTTGGAAGTTGGGGATTATATTTTAACTCCTGATACCTGTGTGGAGCGGAAAAGTATCAGTGACCTGATTGGCTCCTTGAATAATGGCAGGCTGTATGCACAGTGTGTTTCCATGTCCCGTTACTACAAGCGACCGGTTCTCCTGATTGAATTTGATCCTAACAAACCTTTCTCTTTGATTCCACGTGGCTCTCTATGTCAGGAGATTTCCAGTAATGATATTACTTCTAAGCTAACCCTTCTCACACTCCATTTCCCAAAGTTACGCATCCTGTGGTGTCCCTCTCCCCATGCTACTGCTGAGCTGTTTGAAGAGTTAAAACAGAACCATCCCCAGCCTGATGCAGAAACAGCGATGGCTGTCACAGCAGATTCTGAAATTCTTCCCGAGTCAGACAAGTACAACCCTGGTCCTCAGGACTTCCTGTTAAAAATGCCAGGTATTAATGCAAAAAACTGCCGTGCCTTAATGAACCAGGTTAAAAGCATTGCAGAGCTGGTTACACTGTCAAAAGACGAACTCCATAAAATCTTGGGTAATGCTGCCAATGCCACACAACTCTTTGACTTTATTCACCTGACCTACGGAGAGGCAGTATCTAAAGAAAAAAGCAAAAGGTGAGTAATGGGATTGTTCAACATGGGGCATAGATAAGCTGTTCTTGCACAGTACTTTGGCAAAGTACATGAACCATTTTAATAAATGCCCTCTAAGATAACCAACTGTTTCTTGCTAATGCTGTTCCATTAGTTTTGATTTTTGAGTTAATTATTACTGAAAGCGAGTTTCAGGAGGAACAGA